ACTACTAAATGAAAGAAACCACATATTACAAAGGAAGCAGCTAACTTCATCTTCCACTGCCTCAAATGAAGAAGTCAACCCAGCAAAACTAGTACCATATTTGTTGCAGAATGTAGTATATAATGTTAGACGTAGTCTCTGATTTCATTGTATTCCCTTTTCCATACATGTCTGTACCATGTTTGTACCTGCCATTAGCCCTCGAGCAGGTATTTGCAATAAACTTTACTTATAAACGGTACGAGTATTGCTATCGAAGCTGCTTCGGCTTGTACGCAGGGCTTGCTAATCATCCCAATTACCAACAATTATTTCTTCACACGCAAGCAATCGAGTGTAAGGCAAACCAATTTTCCACACTCCTACGTGTAATTCACGTCTTGATAATGTCAGCAAATTGTCTCCCTACCCATTGCTTTCTACTGAAGACTCTCAAAGATTTCAAAGCAGACATCTGAATTAGTTCCTCTCATGCTTTACTCATATGTGGGTGTGTGGAATTTACTCGTCTTTGTAAACTCTAGCTAGGGTTGATTACTTTTGACAGATCTATATGCCGGACGAAAGAAGGTCCAAATTACTTTTTTCCTTGAAGTCGCCAGCATGGACGCACAACACTGCAATCAAAACTGTATTAGGTGTGCGTTAACAGAAATGGCGATATACTGTACTGCGGCCACGAAAGGTAGAACAAATGTTGCTATGAAATGTTAAAAAGGTTTGAAACAGTTTTATTCGTTGGTACCACTGTGACAATAAAATCTAGCAATTTTTTAAGTTCTTCCGCCCTAACACGTGATACCTGTGTTAAGAATCGGCCTAATCACTAATAAATAGTATCACCTAGCTCAGAAAACATTGACGGTTATTCATAAAATCCGATATTATATAAACATACATTAAAACAAGGAGCAAGAGAAGTTAAAATACAAATACTCTGTAGAGGTAAGAAATTTTGAATGTACTGTTACTGCTGTATGAGCTGTAGAGATAACCTACCCGAGTAGCGTAGTGCGCCTCCCAGAAAGGGCCCGATGTGTTGCGGGTGCCGTTGAGCTGTCCTGGGTCCCCCGGATCCAAACTCTGCCACAGGAACAAACTTTCCTCGTCGGTCATCGTGGAGTTTCTGGTCATGAGTCTGAAAGAATTTGAAAGAATTCGTGAAATCAGTATCTATGAATCTAAGTCCTAGTTTTTGAACTGGTCATCCATGTGTGTAACACACCGGCTTTGCGTGCAATAAGCACTCGGCTGCATCGTATTATACTACATTGGTTTGAAGCTAGATTTGTCGGTAAAGACCCAGTACGATGTACTATCGACCGCAAACTGAGAACATTCTTCAGACATGTATAAAAAAATAACACGACTGCTTTTTACAAAAGGCTATCGTCAATCTCTGTCGGCGGTTGGAGCCTGCTTGAAAATTCTACTTCATCTAAATAACATGACGATCTAGCTTCGATAAATTCTGACCACGGTGTTACTTAAAATTGCAACTTGAAGCTTCCCCATTAAAAAACGCAAAGACATCTGTTCTATTAGTTTATGTCTGGTCCTCCTTTGTTCTACCGTTTTAATCTAGCTCGAAACAAAATGACGATGCCCAAGCTACAATGTGATGCTATATTCCCTATGGTTTTATAAGACGCCAATTAACAATTCTCAAAAGCAGTCTATAATGATCAAGCGAGTGGCATAATTGGTGATTAAAAACACACATTTAGAGCTCCAGAGACCCGTCTAATAAGGACACAAGCTTCATAGATCCATTAAAATTTCTTGGTCCAATACCTTTTAGAATATTTGTGACTATTGGCACCATACAACATATGGCATTAAGTTTGGTATATCAAATACATTTTGATTTGAAGAGTAGAGATACGGAATATACCATTCTCTACATACCTTATAAGTCAGTTGGGATATCTCTCGTTCGCCGATGTCTTGCCGCCTGAAAGAGTGAGACCGAGAGGGCCTTCCTCACGTTAGTCTATTGAAGTGACGTGTGTGAATATATCTGACCAATGACAATGCTGAAAGCGTCATACCTAACCAGGAAGTGCCCATTCTTGTTCGTGGGGGTGTAAAGGAAATGTCAGTCATGGTAAAAAACCAGTTCAGATGCGTCTCTGCGTGGCACACCTAATGTACTCTAAAGAGAAAGACAGGAAAATAATTATGACTTTACATTTTGCACATATTGATCAGGAATACATCATTATATAGCATTGTTTATATTACATAACTTTTGATAGGAAATTGAAAATTTCAAAGGACCAGGTAGTACGAGTAAGTAGGTGGGCTGTTGTGAATTTCGTGTCAATTTTTCATCGTCAATTTCTAACATATTATTTGTGCACTGCTGTGCTATCCTGATTTCTTCCACCGTACTTTGTCCCAGACCGGGGGACCATTTTGAGCTCCAATTAGGTGTTCCTGTTAGTCTGTGGTTACAGTATTTCCCCCCTCGCCTCCTGGTACAGATCAGGCAAAACAGAAGCTACTTTGCATAAATAAAGGGCGAAGATTTATAAATTCGCTGCATTCCATGATATGACTCTCAGTCGTTAAGCCTTTATTTCATTCGTGAGGACCCAAAAATGAGTATAACTTTATTTATGAAGGTTTTTTATTTGGTAGGGATATTGATGTAATAGAGCATTACGTATTCTTTTAGTCGCGTGGATGTTTTTAATTTTATACAACCATCCTCGTGTTTATTGTTAACCAAAATCTACCAAACACAAAGTAGCAAATCGTCAAATATCTGTCGTTGGAAAGCTGAACGCGATTGTATTTTTGACTTCACGGGGATGCTGTTATATTTCTTTTTCACACTGAGAGAAATATTGCCTGTCATTGTAATAAATATATAAAAACGGGGTCTTATTTTGTCACTTATAATGTATATAAGTCCCTTAAACATAGTTTTGTGATTCTATCGCATTTCACGTGTTTATAAACGTTACCAAAAGACGACCAGTACATTATATGTTCGACTAGTTCGATAATCTGAACAACAAGAAAGCTTTTTGTAAACAAACCCAGTTTTAGAGTTCAGCAAATTCGTACAGCACAACATCACATTTGAGGTCAGTAAATATTGAAATCAAATGTGTCAAAATTTAAACTGTCATACGAGGAAGTTCAGTACATTTCATTATACGACATGAAAAGTTATGATTTAAAGTCGCGATCCTGCAATGAATACTTTAAAAATACAAATACGCTGGCAGTTCATTCAATTTTGAGTATAACTGACGAAGATTCTATAATGAAAACGTCTGGAGGACATCTGCATTGTGCGGAAATGAATGGTTCGCAAATGAAACGCCTACTCTAATCCAGCGATTCGATAAGCCTGAGTAACCAATTACTTCGCACAGCGAGTGTTTTCAGCCTTTTGTCACGATCTCCAAGCGACGGCCTCAAAACAACTTTTCATCATGCCATAAAAGTACATCGCATCTGGCTCATTGCAGGTAACAGCGTCGTGAAGAATCGGGCTTAATTTTTGCAGGAACAAAACGAAAGGATCTCCTTCTGAGGTAAAAACTTGTTTGTTACCCCAAAATGTATACTGATGATGCGAAAAAAAATTATGGTATAGATACGTGAGTCCCATACATAGCAAGTTGTACAAAAGAACCCTTTCAAGAAATCGGACGGACAACAATTTAAAAAAATCACCGTCCAAATTCCTTGTTCGAAATCTTTTTATAGTCGTGACAGTTTCTTTCCCCGTACGGCCAAGCTTTGGAATTCCCTCCCTGACAAGTGTTTCCCACCAACCTACAATCTACAGGCTTTCAAATCAAACTTTCACCGCCATCTCTTGACATAACCATGTTTCTCTCATATTTCTAGTTCAATGTCGAGAAGTGGTCGTATAGGCCTTGCATTGAACCACTCCGTTAAAAAAATGATAACTTCAACAACCACCCAGAAAAGTCAGATGTCACTCCCACCGAAACCTCACCAGTTGTAAGTTCACAGTTTGTTACGCAGATTAAAACATCTTTCATAAGATTTGAAGTTAAAAGGCGTTTTTCCTATGGTGACATCTTTTTGAAGTCTTTGAGATGGTCTCAAAATAATTTGGACGACGACCTACATGTACGTAGCCCTTCTCACATCAGAGACAGACATGTTCACGGAATACGCACACGTCCTGGACAATTATTGTAAGAAGTGTCTCCTATTAAAAAATCAAAGCGTTTGCGTGTGTCCATCATGTCGATGTGCGTCAGGCGTGACCTATTCAAATGAAATGACTGCTTTTACAAAGGTAAGCCGGAAGTATGCGTCGGTTACGTCGATGAAGGTTAGACATCCAGGTAATACGATATGCCAAAAAACAGTTACTCAAGCAACTGGATATAACAGCCCATTATACGTAGCCCTTCTAACATCAGAGACAGACATTTTCACGGAATACGCACACGTCCATACCAGTTGCTTGAGTAACTGTTTTTTGGCATATGCGTCGGTTATTTCTTAAGTATTGCTGTCAGAAACGAAACTGTTACGCCCTTAGACCTCTTGAAAGCCGGCAATCCAGACACTTGTCTGACATGAATAAAGCGTGTGCGTGACTGATTATACAAACTAATCGCAAGACACAGTTCTTGGAAAGAACTACCAAAAGCCTTAGTTGAAAACAAGTTAGGACCTGTTGAAAATATTCACTTTAAATGTTCAAGGCATCCAATGCAATTTCAGGGCAGAACCCCCCCCCCCAAAAAAAATAATCTGAATGAGGAGATATGTTAGATAATGACATTTACTGACATTCCTCAACACATTTTTCTCATCATTTCATACCTGAAGATTTGAAATAGCCCCAAAAGGAGTTACGTGTGGCGTGTCTTTATGTTTTGGGTACCGCCCTTTAATAGCTAGAACTCGCCTTACAAGAATGACCACAAAATCCGATTTTGCCACCCTGAAATTGCATTGAATGTTTTTAAGAGGAGCTTACAGCTAGTTTTTAACAAAAAAAGATTTCCTTTTGTCATCCTCAACTAGTTGATTGAGGTGAGGCATCGTACTAGTCTAATGCGGTTACGCTGTAGCCTGGTGTCCATGCTGTCTGTCGTGGTTGGGGCGGGTTCTCTTGGTGGCTGCAGAAGCTCTTCCCCGCCCGACTCAGCTAGGTTCCGCGGTAGGTTTCGCACGACGGGAGTTTAATTAGCCCCACCACAACTCCTGGCGTGCAAATCTCGTGTAGGCGTAACACTCTTACCGGGCGGTCGGTTGAGCTGGACGGGGAAAATTATTTGAGCCCCGTTTAAAGACAGCCTGCCCCAAACATGATAGACTGGATACCAGGTCGGCATGTTGCAGGATTTGAACCCAGGACCTATGGATACTGGACAAAACACCTAACTATTACCCCACACGATCCCACTCAGTCAATTTTTTTTATAAATGTGTAATTACATACATTTTGCGATATCAGACATTCGAAATACACCAATTTACACATAAGCCAGACGAATAATCATCTTTACAAGCTTTACAGCTATTCTGAAGTGGGTGGCATTAATTTTCTCTTTTTTTTCGCTGTCTTGTACGATTTACAGTCGAAAACTTTTTTTTTTTTGGAAACAGACAGATATTCATGCGCCCATGGATGTCATCAGAATAATCAAATCAACTTGGTCTTACTGGTGGACTAAAATAACAAGGCAGGGTGATTTGCAGAAAGTTGTAGCACAAAAGTTCGTCTGGCTACAAAACACGATAAAAGTTTAAAACTTTGATTGGGCGCAAATAACATGAGACGATAGAGCTCCTAGGCGCCTTTGACCCCCATTGACGTCATGTATTATGATAGCAACCACTAAGAGGTTAGTGGGCAATTTTCCCCAAGAAGGGCAATTGAAGTTTAAGTGAGTGGTGGTTATTCTGCGGTAGATTACTGTTTGAAAATTTAACGATGGAGAGAAGTTGTTTTGGGGCCAGCGTTCACAGTACGCCAAGTTGAGAAGGTCAGGTAGTCTAGGTCAGGTTTAAACCCCTTTCTTTTAAAACATGTTTTTATTCAAGTTTCATAGTTAGCTTGCAAAACATCTTTTTTCAAAGGTGTCTTTGTTCAAGCAGAATCGTGTTTTCAGAGTTTAAGACGTCAAACCATTTTGACATGTGTTAATAAAACTCTAGATTTCACATATATGTACATATACATATGTAACGGGAGGGGTCCTAATTCCGACCTATGTTCCATGCAAACGCACATACCTTTGGTAATGGTTTGTCTCACCAAAAACCCGCCTAACACGAGCTATAATATTTACAGATAAAGATAACAACGATTAGAGCTAAATAGCTGTGTATTTCACTTTAGTGTGGCGCCTTGCACCCAAGCGTAATGGTTTGCGAAACTTACGGCAGGTTTTTCGTCATTCTGCCGGTGGAACGTTCTATCGCAAAAGGGGTGCCCTAATTCCGACCTAGTATCTAACAAAGGCCAATCTGAGGAGAGAGTTAGGTATCTAAAATACACAAATTATGACTAAAACAATCTATAACTATTTTTCTGTCCCAAACAAGTCTTCTTTGTACCATTACGCTACTTGCTCCAAAGCGGCTGTTTCAAAATCAAAGCTGCGTTTTTTAACACGCTCGTCAACCCTCGAACAAGCGTCGAATTTATACAGATTTTTCAATCGTCTGTTATCGGAGCGTGCGAACTGGAACAAACTTTGTGAGAATACCGATATCAACACAGAAACTTTGCCCATTCTTGTGGTTATTTATAGGCACGTGCTCCCATGCATAGCGCGGCGACAAGGATTTTTCAAACTAGTACGGAATTAGGGGTAGGTCGGAATTAGGACACCCCCCGTTACATATAGTAAAGACAACTTTATTTCTTGCACATGGTTTCCAGAGGATGTCATCCATATAATCAAATCATCATGGCCTAATTCAAATATCTTAGCAACACTATCTTCTGAGTAGATTTTGCACCACTTATCATACGATATAGGCAAACTTTATTTTTCCTAAACAAATTTTCAACCTGCCCTGGTTCGAAGAAGCCTTCAAATATTCATCTCATCCACAGAAAGGATTTTCCATGATATTAGCTTTTGGTTTACGGATTATGTTGTCATAAATAGATGACCTCTGGCCTTCAAATGTGCAGTAAATAACACCTTCATTCTGTACATCTTCAGCCCACGTGGTAATACCCTGATTTTCAGCTTCTCGGTTCTAATATCAAATCTTGATCTGTCTGACAAGCTGATATGAAGAAAGTGTCTTTAGCTTCGGGAAATGATGAAAAGATAATGATATTCAAAACTGCCTCCCGTCTGTATGACAGCGTCTCAAAAACAGTTATCAGTATCTATTCTTGTATCACAGTGGGATAAAATGTGTATTAATCAGTTTGTGAAAGGACCGTGTTATGGCTTGTGCAAAGTTGGGGGTATTTTTAGAATTATGCTTTTCCACATCTTATTTGATTTTATTTCTTATTGTAGCACTCGCATTTTGGTTTAAATTTGTATTCCTTCACAATGATGAGTACTATGTTATATTCTGCCTTTGAGACGGAATGACAAGGAGTATAAAAATTGTATGTTATATATATACTTCCTTCTTAAGGAAGGGTGAATGAAGTACTGGCAACACCAGCCTTTATATGTAGGTGGGCGACAAGAAACCAAGTACTGTGAACTAAAATGTCTTCACAAAAGGACACTGTAAACCCATGTGTTGAGCCTGCTTAAGATGCAATGCTCGGTGTGAATATTTATACATAATAATGATAGGCAATCTATAATTTGGAACCCAGACGTGCAATTTTCTGTCTGCAGTAGATAAGAAATCTGTAGAAGGTTTATTTTTCACCCAGTGTCGACGCTGTACATATCTGGTTGTAATCCGCGATCTATTTTTACCCCTAGCTAATATGAAATATATCAAGATTTTTATCATGTTTACCGAAGGAAAATATATTGTTTCTGCTCAGTTTCTTCCTGTTCTCCCCCAAACACTGACCTCTGTCCTGGCCAATGACCTGATTTGTTGACGTCTGTCACCATGGTAACTAGTGTTGGGTTACATAATGTTGCAATTTCATAGTAGGAGGGATTTGGACTCCTGTCACCATAACGAATGTGTTTGAGAAAGAATTAACAGAGCAGACCATATGCGAAGGTAAACATTATACATTTGCTTTGCAAATGTTACTTTTCTATTTAAGATTTATTTATTGCAGAGTTATGTGCGTTAGATTACTGTTCTTGTGCATTTGACAAGTGTACAAGGTGCAAAGTATGGCATCTTCTGTTACACAATTGCATATGCAAACCTATATAAATGGGAACGATTGCACTATGATGTTGGTTCTGCAATTCCCAAAATACCTGGAGGGTGGCGCCCTCACTCTACCGATGTGCCTTATGCCGACTCCAACATCTACAATTCCCAATTTACAGCATGATCGCTATGTGGTGCTGCTGCATGCACATGCCCTGTTAAGACAACAGCCGAAAGTGGAGGAGACAGAGAGGGGAAGACGAGAAATGTTTCTAACAGTCTTTGAACACTGTGGCCCTCCTGTTAGTCTTGTACAACATGTCCAAGATTCTCGATGAGACACCACCAAACAGCTTGTTGAATTGGACGTTGTTCAATCGAAGCTAAATATACCAATATATATTATAATCGAAATAGTATACGCACACAAACATACACGCACAAGCACAACACACACACACACACACACACACGGACAGACACAGGGACACACACACACACACACACACACACACACACACACGCATCGCCCACGCAGCATATTAAACGAGAACGAAGATGAAAGAGTGTAATTTACCTTGATTGGCGCCCGGGGTTATAAATGTTCACATATTAGAGTTAATTGGGCTGATTATAGGGCTACTAATGAATGGTTCTCTCAAACGTTCTTCCTTTGATCCTGTCTATAGCAGTGACGCAAGTCAACCCCTAAGTAGCCAATTACAGAAAATCGTTCTAGCCTCAGATTGTAGAATATAGGACATTTAGCTAAGTGTTTTGGTTACAAAAAACTTTTTGCTGCTTCAAAATAAAATCTCTGAGCTTGTGTGCATATGTTTTACTACCTTCAATGCAAATTACGTACTCCAAAGAATTTAGAAGTTATTTGTATTTTGTATGCCCAGCACTACCTGAAAAATAGGTTTTTTTATGTAACCTGAGTGTATTTTGCTGGTAAAATAAATAATTGATCATGAAATGAATGGATGGCTTTGTTCTTATATGATACTAAGTCTTCTGCTCTTGAATAAAAAAATTGTGCAATTTTCATTCATCTTTGACATCTAGTTTAAAGTAGCAGTTATGGAACCTTTCAATGTGCTTTTACTGCTATATCTGTTGACACCTACGATATTTTTTTCATATTCACATTTCACATGTCCGTTTTTCAGGTATATTCATATTGCATTTTTATTCCTAACATAAATTGATTTTGATTGAAACGGACGTGGAGCTTCTGAAACCATCCCAGTGATTGACAGGGGCACCGACGAAAATGGCTTGGGCATCTAAAACGCGGTTTACCGCCAAAACGTCACAAAGTAGATCAAGAATATGTCATTACAGAAAGTGCTGCAACGGACAGGCACTTTAACGTAACAGCACACGACTTCCAAGCAGATGAAACATTATAGGAAATCGTCATATTCATAAGGATTTAGGAAATGGTGTTTCATAAGGTTTTTGACCTATCCTCTGATTCCTTTAAGTTCACAGTTTGAATTTCAGATCCCTTTATGCGCCGTCTGCAAAACGGCTCGAAAGCCACCTGACGACACTTATACAACCCCGTCAGTCGTTACAACTAAAAATAGCACGTGATTGAAGAGTAGGCTGTGTGTATGCATTCGATAAGAGTTACTCCTGCAATTCACGTCAATTTCCTCTAACCTCCGAACCGCCTGGTTACGATAGATACAGCAATGGGCATTTTTCACGTTATTACGTCTACAGGTGAAGCTAGGAAAACATGTACATAAAATGTGTAGAAAATCCAAGGAGTAAATCATTTATTTCATGCTTGTGGTTCCTCAAAGGATTGGAGAAATGTAAGATCAGGGAAAACGACCAAAGATGGCTCTTCGCCGCGTGGGCATGGTCTGTATAAACAAAATAAAAAGCAAGCGGTAAAACATTCAGAATATGATGTTTAACGTTATGTTACAACCGTGTGAAAATGAAAAAGGGGGATTGCTGTGTATACTAAGTATGTCAAACACTGTTTAAAAGCATTAACTTATCCATCCTAATATCTGAATAGAACAAGCAAAAGGGTATGACTATTATAAGTTTAATCATCCAAAAATGACGGCTGTAGCATTACGCGAAAACAGTTTAATACAAAAGAAACTTTCTTTTCTGAAGCAAAACAAATTGCTTGAGAATCTGTAAAAATCATAATGTTCTTCCGTAATTCCTTGTGTTTCAAGCCAATAGATAAAAGAATAGCCCAATTTCGCTAAATTCTATACTAGGAATTTTTCATTCAAAGAAAAGTATCCAGCAGTGACGTTCTTACCACGACGTTACCCAGCTCTGTGTCTGCCGGGCAGGGCGGGCTGGGCACATCGAACACGGAAGGGTCCTTAATGGTCATTTCCATGTTGACGAATCCAATAGCATCAATATAGGGATCTGTAGAGTTAAAAAAAAACCATATATATAGTTCAAAACAATATGAAAAGTACTATAGCTCAACAAATAATATATTGCGGTAGTTTATTTTTTAGAAGAACGGTCAAGAAAATTGAACCAGATTAAGAAGGAAAACGTCATACGTTGTAGATATAAAAGACAACAAATAAAGTAATAATCTTAAATACTCTCGTAATATTGGCCACAGGTTCAGACAGAATATCAACATGTACTGTTCGTTGTACCAGGTTGTATCCCGCCGGTGAAGTTGTATCAAATTTACTGACCATTTCCAGTGTTGATTATCGTCTCCACAACTGGCAGACAATTGTCGACGCTGAAGGAAGCCCTCCCCAACAGACCAGGGACAATAGTATCAACCGAGTATTCGTACACTTTCAATCCTTGTGGGCCGCCATATGTGTACGATCCCAGAAACGTAGTATTGGCTGTAGCATGGAAAGAAAAATATAATTACAGAAGGATATACAGAAAAACAAAATGTGCACAAAAATATAAAGAAGAAGAAAGATAAAAACGAAAATTGTAGCAATCAATGTACAGCTTGTACATAATGTGGAATTAAACTACTGCTAATATCTGACAATGCTAAGAGATTAATTTCTAAGAAAAGTGCAGCAAACATCACTCACTCAAAGACTATTTGGCAATCATATCTTGTTAAAAGTATTATCAAACGTTTAGAATAACGTTTAGCGTAAACTATCGCATTATTTTTCATGCTTTTTGTTCCACTTACTTGGGATGCAGTTGTACAACTTTTCGGTCAGCTTGCTGGTGGTACACTGGTTTGAAGTTATAGTGTAGGACACCCCCTGGATGAAAGTACATACAAAGGCGTTGGTGATATGATACAAGGCGTCAACTCTATTATGTGTTGTCAAGACTATGTGTTACTAGTCCACTGTAAAAGTGCACAAGAGCCAGATGTTACAGTAACAATATTTCAATTCAGTTTAAGAAGTACGACATTCAATCCTTCACCAACCTGATGAAATTATTCACCAACCTTGTTATGGTCTTCCACAATCCTGTAGGTTCCTCTCACGTCCACCAGTGCAACCTTCATCTTGTCGTAATCATAATACTCCATGATGGTCTGGTTCTTTGTCGCTGTAGAATCAACAAGAAGCAACTTAGATTTGTCAAACTTTGTAGTATTTCTAAATTAAGAAGAAAAGGAAACGGTAATCTTAGACTTCCGTGAAATATTTTCAGTTTTCGTGATATTTAAATTCACCCCATTTCCTGTGCCTGACCGTTTCACCTACCATTCTGCATATCAATCTTCCCCACCCACGCACTGTTAACCCACTCTCTACTTTCCGATGTCGGACCTTATGACCTCCTATTATTCGACCTGTCAATCTTCCTGGCCTCCACCCACGTGCTATCAACCTACTCTGTACGGGCAGAAACACATACCCATAGCTATAGCTAAGCCGCCAAAAACAATACTTTCGTAGCATATAAATATATATAGTAATATCAATATTTAACGGAAGTAAATATCAACATATACAGCAGGAAATTTAGCAAACGGCTTTAAATTCATCCTCATAGTCTGACATAGACATATCAAGCCAAGCACTACATGTACAACCCACTCCTATTGCAGGAAACATTAGGATTCGACCAAGGTGACCATATTACCGTTAAACAGTAGTGACTACTTTACAAAGAATGTAACATATCTTACAAGGCTTCCCACCGCTTACAGAGCCACTGATGATACCCATAGTGCCAGACCACTGCTTCGGCATACAGCAGTGAGTCGGGTCATCCACCGGGGCTGCAGTAGTTGGACATTCACCTAGCAAGAACGCTTAGAGACAAAGAAACACGTGAACACTTAAAGCTAAAATTCCAGTCATTATGTATGCCACAATCGTCGTACGACAGAGGGCGTTTTGGGGGATAGTTGTGCAAATTTAACTCTCTCATATAAATATATTTATTAAGGCTAATATCCTTCCCGGTGACGACGACAAATAATGTGACGTAAGATACACATTAGTATTAGTATTTGCAAGTGACCCATAGGCCCTGTCACACATTCAGGACACCTCACCCACCCACTCAAACACACACACATTTCCCCCGAACACCAGCCATCCAAGGTAGGCTGGCCAGATTTAAGCAACGTACATTTATCTACGAATCTACTAATTACGATTTAAATTTGAGTCAAATTTTGACGCCCGAACACAACTGACTTACTGTCAAATGGTTGTGGTCTTCGGCTGACCTTACAGCCAAACACCAGCCAACCATGGCCGACCTCCCGACCACCTCCCGAATGTTTAAAACATTTTGAAGCATTTGGCTGACGCGGTCGAATAGTAGCCGACCTCGCCAGCCGACCTTGCTCCAACCTACTCCTGAACATGGTTGGGGGCGTTCGGATAGTGTTTGGGAGGCCAACTTATGAATGTGTGGCTTTATATTTTTTTAACGATCATGCCAAAATAATAAAATCGTGCATCGCGATCGCTACATGAAGGAAGAAGACAATGCTTACCGACTGCCACGAAGACCAGCATCTTGTTGAGATTAGGGGTTGGCGAGAAGGAATGAAGCAAAAAATTGTCGCAGGAATTCTTTTAAGAGTTTTCAAAACAGCGACGTGGTCTCTTGTTATAGCTCTGACTCAGGGGGTGGGTCTGCGCGAGGTTGTTTGTTTGAACTTTGAACTTTGCCCGTTGAGGTAAATGTTTAAGCAATGGGTGTGCTGAAATGTATGGTAAACATTACCTCACAAGGCAGGAGTCTTTTTCAGGGTTACTTGAGTTCAAATAAACGGGACTGACCACATTTACTATGTTCTTTATTTGTTTAATTGATACTTATTACTTTTACATAGTTTCACTATGAAGGAAGATTCTAAGTCCTTAAATATTTGACAAAATCAAATCGTTAAATATGTGACAAAAATCAATATGACATCAGTCAAGCATTCGACTCATCTGCGAGAAAACTAGTAAGATTTTTAGTTGGCTATGACGTGTTAGTGTTTGTTTATTTTATTACGTAGTGAGTAATCAGAGTGACGCACTATCGTTATTTAAAGGCTATGATCTGATCACTATAGATACAAGGTGAATGAACACAGTATTCGTATTTAAAGATCAGTACTTACAAAACTTACAGCATCGTCACTATCATATGTTCAGTCCTGATAAATTCCATAGTAGATCATTGCAACATGTTTTAAATGCTGTCACAGAGGGTCCTTTTCTTACATTTGGTGGTAGATTATTCCATGTCATTGCACCTGAATACGCTATCGATCGCGATCTCCTGTATACATGTAGCTCTCTACGTACCGTCGGTACATGCAACTGGTTTGACACACTCGGACATGTTCTTTTGACTGTCCTGTCCCTAGCGTAAGTGAATATTTAACACTTTGAAACTTTATGTCATAGAACAAAATGCGCTGTAATTTACAGCAGTCTAAAATTCAACATCATCAGATTACAATAAAATGCAATTAGCCATCCTAAAATAATGTGGTGACATAAATATACATTTGGAATGTATGTGTGATGGAAACACCAGTGACTTACTCGTCTTTGATTTCGGAGTAGCTGTGAGTTGTAGACGGATCATAAATGTCTTCGTCCTTCATTTCTGAGTAGTCGTTAGTTGAGAGGATAGAAGAACGGGGGTTGGTGCTTTGGTCGGTTAAGTCAGCACCACCGGAGGCTTGTGCCAAAGTTTGGTTCGATGTTTCATACATGGAATTGCTTACAAGCTGCGTTACACAGATGGCGTGGTGACTACGTTGCACGAGGGCCGAGGCAACTTGTATATTTTGAACAGCGCTGTTCTGTTCGTTGTTCCCGGCTGTCGCACCATGGCCTGAAATATCACAGATCTCGTCGTCTTTGATATCCGAGTAGGCGTGGGTCACAGATGGTTCGTATAGGTCCTCGTCTTTTATGTCGGAGTAGGAGTTGGCGGAAACTGATGAAAAGTCGTCATCCTGACGTAGGCCAGATCCCGGTAACCCTGTATTGTGTAGTACACGATTTGGTACAACCATACTAGACTGGGTAGGGCGCGACTGGTTAGTAGAATCTCTTACATTTTGAGCAACTCCACTCCTGCCAATGTATCTGTAGACCATCACCAAGGCTAGAGCTAAGAGCACAGGCAAAAGGACTAGTACTATTGGCATGACGTATTGGACCACATTGTCCTGTTTTAAAGTTGACAATGTTGTTGTCACACTAGTGCTTCTAAAGTGTTCTGTAGCAGCAGTGGCCTGATTAGTCCAGACCTCTACAGTTTCTACGTGTGCTTCTGTGGAATATTTGGGTAAATTTGAATCAGGACATTCTGAGCTAACCATTCTGTCCACTCCACTAAAACGGATCGGCTCGCTGGAAAGATATTGACGACGAAATACAAAGCAAGAAATATTTGTCATTCTGGACTGTTCTTTAGAACTGGTTTGGTCGGTTGGCGTCTGCCTGTTGAAGCGCCGATTTTTCACGTAGCTAAACACCAAAGCAATACTTCTGTTATGTTGTGACATCTTTGCAAGCTTCAACGCCACGCCGTCTTTCAGGGCTAAAGTTATCCCGTCATGTTTGGTCCAAGCTTCAGAACACGGGCCAGCATACAAACTTACTCGCTCGTCCATTGCAGTTTTGTCCCAAACAGTTACTAAAACAACCGGTGGCCGGAATGTAACGGGACCAAACGTAATCGGCGGGAATCTCCTCGGTTCTTGTTCCTCGTTGTTGGTAGGTTTGAACTCACGCCGGTTCACAATAGCCCATTTCACTTGAAAGTCTTTTGTCACTGTTGAATACGTGAGGTAAAAACCGATGTTATCGATATAAAAGCGAACCTTCTGTTTTGGTGGAAAACCAGTTTTGTCCACGATAAGAGTCCAGTTCACTTTGTTATCTTGCTCCCAGGAAATGACATGCTCTCCACTGACGCTAAATGTTTGGAGTGACGGCACAGAAAGGGCTCTCTCGCTTAAGCACGTCAGGGGGTTATAGCTTAAGTTCAGAACTTGTAAATCGTGAAGAGGATCTAAGGAGCTGGTGAAAACGACTTCAATCTTATTGTGACTCAGAATCAGTGTGTGTAGGAAGGCAAGACCACGGAACCATCCACTCGCTACTTCTGACAGAAGATTGTGGGACAAATCTAGCATTGTAAGATATGAGATTTCTTGGAAACAGCCATTTTCTAGTTCAAAAATACGGTTATGAGAAATGGACAAGTAGGCTGGAGATTTCTGTGAAGTGTTTAAGCCAGAGAACCAAGCACGTTTCAGCTGCGACAAAGTGTTATAATCTAAATGTAACGATCGCAAGTGTGAGAATCTAGTGAATGTTTTGTTTTCGATCGCGCTTATTCCTGCATCTATAAGAACAAGGACCGTCAGGGCAGACGGATGGATGGCGCTCAGGGTTTGCGAGGACAGGTTTCCGATGGGGATGCCTCGTAGGGCGATCCACCGGGCAGCAGGGATGTATCTGTAGTTGGACAGTGGAGTGCAGACAAGGCCTTCCTGGACTCCAAGCCCGCAAGGCATACAGAGGCATGTAATGGTGTGATTTGAAATGTCACGAACCTTGAAGTTGATGTTGTCGGGCACGCACGTGTTCCAGGGTTGTGATAAGGTCTTCGAGCAGAAAGAGTGGACTTCTGTCGCCGCCACGTTGCCGAGAACAGAACAGATCACCGAGCTCACCAGGAAGAGCCAGCAGCCTGACCGTGTCATGTCTGTCGTCTGCAGCAGGTTTGCCTACAAAATGACGCAGGAATTTCTGACGGTGTATGTCAAGCAGCAAAATAGCCTCTCAAGTGGGCGACGTAAAGTAATGAGCTTTTCGTACGCCTCCCAGCTGTTTGTGTTGAGAACAAGGCGTCACAAGCCTCGCATTTTTTTCTCTGTCTTGAGAAAAAGACGTCACAAGCCCAACTGTACGTCGCACACAAGCCTCAATGACGCTCAATGTCTTCTTTTCGTTTTTATACTTGCCAATTGGGTCAGGCTAATATTACTGACGCATGGTGCCACGTGTTGTTCGGCTGTTAAATTGGTGCAAGCAGTTTCGCCTTGAGAGCAAGGCGTCACATGTACACCTGTACATCACACAGAAGGCTCAAGGGCGCTCATTTTGTTCTGTTCGTTTTTATTTGTCAACTGGGTCAGACTAATATTGCTAACGCAAGGCGACACGTTGTGTTCGGCCGTTAAAATTGGTGCAAGGACTTTTACATGTTGAGAACAAGGCGTCACAAGCCCACGTGCGCGTGGCATTATAGGCCTCTACCAGGGCTTCGGGGAGGTGGCTGGAAGGAGTAGATATCGGCCAAATAGAGAGATAACATGCCAGGGGAGTTGGTCTGGTGGAGAGAACATGCCTGTCGGGGGTCGCTACGATCAAATGGGTACGGCAAACTGTTCTCTCTAACAGACCAACTCCCCTGGCATGCTATCTCTAGAATTTTCTGATTTCTACTTATTCCAACCGCCTCCCGAAGCCGGTACATGGTAGAGGCTACAGGTGGCACAGAAAGTTCGAGGACGCTAGCCCTCTTATTCGTTTCTTATTACCTTTCGTCAATATTGGGTCAGACTAATTTTACTGACGCAAGGTGACACGTGGTGTAAATGTGCTGCTGTTAAAATGGTGCAAGGACTTTTACATCTTGAGAACAAGGCGTCACAAGCCCACGTGGCATTATAGTCCCTACAAGGCTTCGGGAGGCGGCTGCAAGGAGTGGATATCGGCCAAATAGAGAGATAACATGCCAGGGGAGTTGGTCTGCTGGAGAGAACAGATTAAGTCAAGCTTCACTTAAGTTACCTACATACCAAAATTCATGATGATCCGTCCACCCGTTCTTGAGTTATCCACCTTCAAATATTTTTCAACAAATGCTTCTGCAATTCCAGAACAAGCTGCTAGGGGGCCCAAACTCATGTCATTTCTTTCCTTGTCCAAGTGCTATCTACCATCACATATTGGTGACCCTAGTCTGACCATATCACGAGATATCGAAACTGAAATTTCAGCTGCAGTACCATAACAAGCTGCCAGGGGCCCCAAAAAATCTAATCATTTCGAGGTCTTACCAAGACCTACTTAGTAATACCTACCAATATCAAGACAATCCATCTTAGCCTTCTCGAGTTATCGTGTTCACACACACACACACACACACACGCTCACACACACACACACGCTCACACACACACACACACACACACACACACACACACACACACACATACACACACACACAGACAGACACATGAACGCCTAAGAAAGCATAACCTTCTGGTTTTACGTTAGTAGTTGACCAGTGTGCAAAAACATTATTTAGCTTCATGAAGTCAGACATACAATACCGATGTAAATCGACACATGTCCACCCTGGCTCTATTTCGAGCTTACAAAGTCTAAACTGCCATAAATGAACGTTCCCCTGAGCCAAGCTAGCTCTGAATAGTTCATTCTGGCATTTTGTAACCGGTGCCGACGGTAAATCGATGAAAACGATCGTTGATCGTCTGCCTTTAAGCTTGCACAGCAAATCTGAACGACCTCAGATACACTCTCACTTACAGAGACCTCCAGGTCACAGATAAAATGCTTGGTTTGGTAGGATTTATTCACAGCTCACGAGAATTGAATGATGCTAACTTCTCATAGGTGAATCAGACGACATCTCGCACAATGTTGTCACTACAATAAGGTCGTCTGTCAGAAAGGTGGCAACAACAAAATGGCGGCGTTACAATTGACTTGATGCCAAATTTCCGCTTAGTTTGTCTCTCGCAAAAATGAATTATAATCAGCTTTCAATATGTGCCCCTGTCTCCGTGTAATGTACATGCTGGCGCACTGCCACACTGGGGTTTAGATCGGTAATAGAGGTTACAGTTTCTCGGTTGTGAACAGAAAAACAACTGTTACCAGAGACTGACTTACCCTTTTTCGGAAGGCGTAATCAGACCTTTAGTCTTCGTAATCCGTAGGCAGTCACCCCAAATCAACGTAATTTGTACTCAGTACATTAGGCGTAACACGTAAATGATTGGTCTTTTTCATGCTGCGCAGGCAGTGTTACCTTTCTGCTACATAAAACGTAATCCATGAAATTTACGTAATTCTGAGAATTTAACGCAATTCGTAATCATCAGCTACCCCATGCAGACCCTCATCATTTTGAACACGCAAGGCTAAACTCACCATAACTGAGTTTATGTTACGATGCGACGGCTTCAGATTATTTTTTTGTTATTACAAAAATCCAAAGTGTTCTTTGCAACGCATTTGAGACACACGTTTTGTTTTCAAATGGATACATTTAAGGATAAGATACGTCTAAGCTATAATGAGCTAGAGGAGTAAGTACATATATTACTGACGCCATTTTGAAAAGATAATCACAAAACATCAACAGACGTTACGTTAACGGTAATTGTGTTAATTAGCAGACATTACTTTTGAGAGATCATCTTTCGATGACGTCGGGTCGACGTAAATTACATATTACTACTAATAACATGAAAACTGCTTGACGATCTAGGTAATCTCAGTTGCCTAGCTGAAATGACGTGGCTTATAAAAATGATGTGATGTTGCAAAACTTTAAACATTGGAAAAGATAATTACTTAAAATATATTTGAGTGTGGTTGTGGTCATCATTACACACGTTGGATTATAATCATTACGGACATCCAATAATAATTGTATTATCTGAAAAGATGAACCAGCCTTCTCTTCTCCTCCCTGATATTTTTCTTCATCAATTTTGAGCAAAAATCGATCGAGTTGTAATTAGTTTGTTAGTGCTGCTTTATGAAACCATTACACCGGTGATATATATCTATAGCGTTACGATACCGCTTGTGTCAGTGTTCATACGTCCAATAAAGTCTTCAACTGAAATGATGGCTTAGAGGGTTGTGAGGTTATTACACCAGATACCTGACGATCAATAGTTTCTTAAACGTATTGCAACTACAGTGAAGACATGATGCTGCAATTTCAGTCATAATTCATATCCCTTATTGCTGCTATGGGGAGAATAGTTGTTTACGAAATGCCATAAAATTAATATATTTGATATTCAGGCTAGATTTATATCAATTATTTCTGGTGGGAAATGACTGATTGTTTACGAAGTGCCATAGGATTATGATGTTGTATTTCAGTCATAATTCATATTCATTATTCCTGCTCGGAAGAGACTAGTTAGTTGTTTAAGAAATGCCATAAGATTATGATATTGTATTTTCAGTCATAATTGATATCCCTTATTTTTGCCAGGAAGACAGTAATTATTTACGATTTCACAAGAAAATTGTTTTTTTTTTTTCTGCAGTTGGTGGTGCTTTTTTTCTGTGCGTTCACGGCCTGCTAGTTATCTTTTGAGTTTATTTCCTGAATCAATAACAGGTAATTACGCTCATCTCCCTAACACTGTGAACATCACAAGTACAATAGTAACGGTGAACAGCTTTATCCAATCAAAATGAACCGTACGGACGAATTAAGAAAAAACAGCTCAAGAGAAGAACCTCAACTATCAAAGACGTGATACGTGATTTAACGCCGCAACGCATTATGGTCGTACACACATCTGATATTGTCGCCTATGGAGTAGATTTGATTTTCATAGCAGGCATATGTTGTTTTTCATTTCCATCGAGCTAAAAATGGGCATTGCCAGGCACAAAGACCGCAGGTGGTGCAGTATCTAGCTGATACTAACTAACTACCGGGAGAATTGTTTCTCTAGTGTACTCAAAGTGTTAAAAGCAACACTAATTAGAAAATATAAACCAAGATCGTTTAATGTTTTCTTCAAAAGACTTGAAACACGTCTTCTAATCTTTTCTTCTCAGACAAGACTGATTGCCTGCTGCGTATTACACTTTGTTGTGCGTCTTCCTTTTGAAAGGGCGACAAGTGGTCTTCTAAATTCATCCTAGCTTTAGCCCGTAGCAAACCCATCTTTCAACGACTACGGAAAAATAAACTCGAAGGTCACTTCGTGTTTGTTGAGGACTTGAAACACGTATTTTAATCTTTTCTCAGCCTAGGACGATTGCCTGCTGCGTATATCACTTTGGTCAGCGTCTTCTTTCAAGTTGAAGGGCGAGAATGTTCCTCTAAAGTCATTCTAGCCCGTGGCAAATCTATCTTTCAACGCCCACGTTGTAATTATCTTTGCCACCCTGTACTTTTACGAGCCAGCGTGAACAGACGTATGCAAATTCCGGGCTAATTTTCTCTTCAGTCTAACTGTTCACCACTTTCTTATTCCCAGGATGCATAGCGACAGGGGTCTGAATTATGTGTTCCTGTGGTGTTTTTATATTCACTGATGACAGAATCTAGAATAATGAAGTAATTCTGTGATACTCATGTTCGTCCCATCTTCTTGTCTCTGACCTTTTAACCTCCTGTCATTCTGTCTGCCATTCTCCCCACTCACGCGCTGCAGCTGTCAATCTATTCTATTCTATTCTATTCTATTCTATTCTATTCTATTATATTATATTATATTCAGACAATTACAAGCACATACACACCAACCACACACAAACCCACCCAAAGCAATATTTCCTTACCCCGAAAGAAAAACACGTGGAAATGCGAACCATCGCAACAAAACTTTACTGTGGCTTCATTATTTCAATATGTACAAAGATTCTTTTTTACGCTCTTCAAAACAAACATTGTACATTTTTTTTACTTAAACATCGAGTAGATGCCAGCATTGCACTTCATCACTGAACTATACTATACTGCACTGTACTTTACCAGTAGTCTTCATTGACATATTCTCTCCAATGGAGACTGGGCATAACTTCAAACATAATATAGCGAGGTCTTAAGGTTATCAAAAACCAATCCATACATAATTCCACGTATAACTACATACCAAAAGTGCCCAATTTTGCACTTCATTTGAAAACATACATGATTCTTTCTTTCCAGTGAGGTCATTTTTCTCCTTAGACAAAACTGAGGTATTGATAAAATACATTTCATAAAATATTCGATACTTGTGTGATGATAAACTGCTATATCTACACAGTATTCAAGCGCCCAGTGTGTTGCTCCAAGAGCTTTTCCAAACGGAACAAAAAGACAATTATAATCGTGTGTATTGGTGACACTTCAAAATAGATGTCATTATGTGCCCTTGAACATCTCTCCGTGTTAGAAAAATTTGTCCGAGCTACTTCTCAGAAAATATTAGTGGCAATCATGTACATACATAGTGTCGTCTTTTCCACCTCGCTGAATAAGAAAGGAACTCAACGTTCAGTCAACCTTTGGTATTTATCTGCATTGCACATAGAATTTTTTTTCTGGCAGTGACAAAAACGTTTCTATGGAACTTTGAAAATACATCATAAATCAATGTTTAGCACTGACGGTTACATTATTTCAATTCATGGTATTCAATATCGGCATGATCCGTAAGAAATACGAAATCGTCATAGATGGTATTTTTTAAGATTGAGTTGACGCCATATAACTGCCAATTCGCATCCCCCCTTCCAAAAGGCAATGGATAGTACCACAGGCAAGTGATTAAATATGCCCAATGCTTTAATTCCATTGAAACAATTTAAGCACAACATATCACCAGTCTCTCGTAGGACAAATTAGAGTGTCAATTCTGATGAATTTAAGAACCATCAATCAACAAACGTTTCATATCTTACCGCCCCTCCCCTCCTCTTGTGCGGAGTCTGCGTAATATATGGAAAACGCTTCAAAATCGTACCGCACAACTTTCAGAGCAAACCGTTTACCCAAATCCCTTGCGGCGAGAAGATGCAAGGTGCTCATATCGTGAAGTCATTGTACTTAGCCGAACAGACGTTTCTACAATTAACCTACGTCATAACTACCAAACTACCATGAATCATTACACTCTGATTCCTTCATAACTTGCAGCTTTCTCAACGCAAGCGATTCTGGGTAATGGAAACAATGATGATGATGATGGTGAGCACGTATCCTCGTCATGCGAATTCCAATATGGCGGACGGATTTGGCCGGCTGGTTCCCATGATGCATTTCACTCGATGACCATGCAGTGAGGCAGGTGCTGTGCGTAATACTGGAACAGCTCCGGAGTTGTTCCCGGGCAATTTGTCAGCTCCAGCTCCTCTAGATTCTTCAGCTGCACCAGTCCAGATAGGCCTGCCGGTGTCAGTAGGGGGCAGCCTAAAGGGAGAAGGGGCGAGTACACATAAAATATAGAAAGATTACCAATAATATCATATAACCATCGATATCATAGAATGCATAGCTATGTATGGCTGGAGCTAGATATTGAAACTGACTCCTGGAGCACGAGTTTGGCATTAACATTTGACATTGACCTTTTCCTTGCTGCCAATAAGCCCGTAACCAAGACAAAGACCTTAGCTTAAGTTAAGATCTGTGCATAGGTCTTGTTGCAAATCAAATAAACGCCCCCTATGGTTGGAAGCTCATTTTATGGTACGCCCACGTCTTTGGGTGTCCTTGGGTGACATTTAAAGCTTGACAGTCTGTTCCATTACAAAAATGTTAATGAGAAATTCACAGTAAGAAAAATAGAATCCGAAGATTGTGATTTTTGACACACAGGGAAGGTTGCAAGGCAATTTTGAGACATTGTCACTCGTGATGATGCTAAGAACAATAGGTGTCAAACTTTCCATGAAAGTTTATGTAAAATATATTGCTTGCCCTTTATTCAATTCTAAACAAGAATAGTTCAATAAAAAATGAGTCTGCTTTATGCATAGGTTGTGACTTTACGCACAGTACCCTTGGTAAACCACGATATAACGACCTATGTTATTGAACCTTGCACTGCAAAGCTATCAAATCACAAAATACTGGCACCGCTTCAAAACGATATTTGCGTCACAAGGCTCTTTATTGCACTACAAAGTATATGTTTTAAAACATGAAATATACAGCTGACATCTGTGGGGGAAAGTGCTAGCTTTTAATGGGAGTGAAGAAAGATAGGCACTGATATCTCTCCGGCTTGTAAAGGTGAAAGAGGTCGCAACACCTTCAGATCATACCATGTTCAAAGTAGCAGAGGGGTTACCAACCATTTTAGGATAGAAAATATCTTTGCACGCGTGTAGAAAAATATCAGCTCTCATTAGATTTGCTTATGATTTATAGATTTTATAAAAGTTGCCCTCGGACGTATTCATTTTAAGATTAAAGGAAACATAAGATATTTCCTCCTTTTATTCAAAGACCTGTGCGTGTTAGTAAAGCGTATGTCTAGCTGGTGATAAATGTTTTATGCAAAACTACACAAGTATCAGTACCAAGGCCATGCACTACATCTATGACTACGCAAGGAGCTAGGTACACGACCTTTGCTGTCAGTTTGGATCATAGACGGTATTTCTTTTCGTTATGCGGTATTTGCCATGCCATTTCTCATCACTGTAACCTAACAATTTTTCTCTGTATGTAGTGTAAGTTGTAAGCTTTGTTGTAAGCTAAGTGTGGATCCCAATAAAGTCAAGTCAAGTCAAGTGTACAGGGATATCTTTGCACAATTATACTGATGGCTTGTGCGACTATGAATCAAAGAACAACTACGTACTGATTGCTTATGCTTGTCCTTTTTATACTTTATGTATTTTATTGTTGCCCACAGCTCTGTTGTGTGCGTTTGTTTTTCGTATAGTTGGAAATCACCATTGCCTGGTGACTGTCCGATCAATACGGAAAACGTGACTTTGTTTGTTCGGTATTTTCTCAATGCTATCTATATCAACAAACACCCACTAGTCTAACCCTCACACACACACTTCCCCATGCCTGTACTTTTTAGGTTAGTTGGCTATAAAACAAGCTGGGCTTACTTCACAAAATGTTAGATTTATCAATGGCAGCAAATGCCAATAAAGTTGGGTAATGTTGATGTAGCGGAAATAACAATGGTAGTAAGTGCAATAATAATTACCGGATATGACTTTTATTTACTACCATTGCTAACTTTGGTACTGATACAAAGTAAACATTACGCCGCGTTGCTGGCATTTACTACCCAGCATTTTCTTGGGTTTGCTAACCCTAGTTGCCCCTTCCCCACAAGGCTACCAATAAAGTGGTGTATATTATATATACTGACCTGCCAATGAGAGGACCCTGAGCTTCTTCATGCTGTAGATGTGCTGCAGACCGAAGTCCTGCACCTGGCAGCACCAGCGGAGGTACAGGGCCGTCAGTGACGTCATGGTGGATAGAAACCCCAGCCCGGTGTCCGTGATACGTACGCACCTGGGAAAAAAAGATGTTTTAAAATGACTCTTCAATCTTGTTGATGAATGACCTTTTTTATCCTGCTGGCCATAGGCGCTACTCAATTCCATTTAGGTCACGACGGTTGGGTGACATCATTCTGGGGCAAACCCGATTCTTATACCTTCGTGAACATCATTCAAATTGACAGGCTTTGGCCAAAAAGAGCGCTTTAGGAGCGTAAATTGACTGTTGAGTTGCGGGAGAAAGAGAATATTGATCTGCACGGTCGGTGTGAGATATGAGAAACGCATTACGACCGAGGGGCCATCGGCATACTAAAGATAAGCGTTTTGTTAGTAAAGGTTGGCAGCACTTGCTAACCGAACAAAGGCGAAGGAAAGCACGTTTTATCTCATGGCGACTTACTGATAACAAGCTTTCAAAGCTTTCGACTATCATTTCTGAACCTTTGGCGTGATTTTTGCTATCGTAGATTCAATCGAATCAGCGTTTGCAAATGCCGAGCTCAGTATGGCTTGTTTGTGTCGTCCGCCATATTTTACTGGGCTCTGATATTCCTTTATATCCTGTTACAATATTTCTTCATTATCGTGCATAAAGAAGCCCAGAGGAGTACACACAATGTGTATATCAATACTATCCGTCAGCAATTGAAGAGCTGGGAAAAGTAGGGCGGTGTAATATTGCGATTTGCCCCATGGGAGTTGTCACTGTACGAAAATCAATATGGCGGCCGAGTTTCTGATAGTAGATCATAGTCGTACTTCGTGAATATTAACGACTTGGCTCAAAGAAACTTTGGTTTCTTACGTATCATACTCATAGAAAATACAGCTTTGTTTGCTTTTCTACTGCACAGAATAAACGAATATAAATCTGAGCAATGCAATGCCAAGAGATTTACAATCTTGTATTCTACGTTCAACGTAGGTCCATTTTTTTTAATCTTATAGACTACTAGTATATCTTTCTCTGCTTTCCTCCGTAATACTCCCCGCCATTATCTTTTATATCTGCCCACTTACATAAATATAGATCTGATACATCTATTTATGTTATTCTAACAAGAAGTGTGTGGACATCCTCTTGTCTCCTCAAGAGAAACATGCATCCATGGCCCTATCTGATACAATCTACCCACCCCCTGCCGCGCACCACTCTTCCCCACACACGCTAAATCAAACCTGGCGTGCCCACATTGCAGCCGGGGTCTAAATATAGCCTGGTCATACTCTGTAACGCAGCGGTCGATTCTAACAAGCCTGGGAGTTTCGATCGACCACTTTGGATCCATGCAAATCTTTACGACCATAGCTGGTGGTTAAGTACCCCCTGCTTTCTTCACTGACCCCGTTAGAGGTTAATAAATAAGAAGCGGGCTTCCTGTGATCTTTTAAGTGCAGTTCTGTGATTTGTGATGTGAGTGGTACGTTTTCTATTCATGTAACCATGTCTTAGATGGACACGAGTGTGTTTCTGAGGTCAGTTCTGCAATCAACTCAACTAATGTCTGACAAGTGGGCACTGAAATTAGAGAAATCATTACTTTCTTCTCGAATAGCGGTCGAAAATGCAATTGTAGAAAAATGCATGCTATATATATATATATATATATATATTATGCCAACGACAAGGCAACAGGCATTAATATAGCAGGACACAACATGAGGCAACCTTTGTACTATTCACTTCCTCAAGGCCTGTAAGGAGTCCCGATTCCGGCCTCCAATTTGACCCCCCTGTCAGTCTTTAGTTATGCAATTTTCCTTATCTTTTCATGCCTCAAGCAATAATATTAACCGACAGGTACACCGAAGACTAATCATCTAGGAAAACTAAAGCTCCTCACACTGGCAAAAACAGGGGATGGCTAAAGCTCATATTGTTGCAGCATCTTTTTTTTCTGATTTCAGCTTAGACATTTATAGACAGTAAAAGGAAATTAAAACACTATTTTATTTCAGTGTCTCTCATTGTTCTCAGCTCATTCAACCTTTTTTTCTAAAAGCATGGTCCGGAAAATATGTCATGGTCCGGAAAATATGGTTAGCCAATTTCTGGAAGCGCTCTGACGATCAGCAAATTCGATTTAGTGTGAAATCTAAGAAAAAAACATGCGTAAATCTCGGTGCGTACTAAGAGCTCGCAACAAGTGGAACGCATTTATTCCCATTCCCCTGATTCTCTAGAGTCGTTTATGGGGGAAAATGATGGCGGGAATCGTCCAGGGACCGGGCGTCATCTGGCGCCCAGGCGTATATGTACACTGTTTACACTGGGTACAATCTGTTACACAGCGGCACTGTGGGTCATGTAGCTTCACACGCTCATTTGTCACGACTCAAATCACATTAGGACCAGGCCATTTTAAAGAGTGTGCATTTTATTAAATCAAAAATTAAAAAGTCAAAATGATAATGTGACCATATATTGGAAAACTAGTTTAAGATAGTAGGAATTTGCTTGGATATGTGTATATGTATAAAGGCGAAAAATGACGATTTGTTTTGAAATGACTATAGTGCGTATGACATTGACTTTCCAAATGGTATGACCCTTGTGTGTTTAACACTACGTCCTTTATTCCTTTATTCCTTTCCTTTACGTCATGCAAACTGGTCCACATGGATTTGTTCTGTCAATACGCATCTTTTGTCCCATCTCCCCACGTTATACATTGGATTTACAACTGTAGAATACTACAATAATACCAAGCTTGAAGGACAGTTAGATGACTTTATCATGACTCACTCTGTCATGAGATATATATTGTCTCATCAGCTTTGCGCTGGCTATCATTGTTTGACCATGAACTGAGAGAAAATTAAATTTTTCGTCGCACCTTGGGAACGTGTTGTCCCTTGGGAACGAGTCCCTAATGGCAGCGTTACTACAAAATTATCGTCTGCGTCCCTTCCTGTCATGATTTATTCAAACCATCTCATTCATATCGACAAAAATGGCGGGATTTCTAGTTTGGATAATCATTTATGCCAATATATTTTCGTCCGAAATGAAATCTGTGTACTATGACTGGGTTGGTGTATTCTGACGTTAACCAAACGGTGTTCAACTGAAGCCGTAAAATTTAACTGGTAGGCATGAATGTTATGGGAAGTTAGAGTACCACTTTATTGCGTGCAAGATTGTGAGGAACTGTTATTTCCATGTATTTGCCCCCATTGCCTTCTAGTTTATCGCTGCCCTTAGTCCATGGTTTATGGCACTACTGATGTGTGTATTTTGCCTTCTTTTGTGATTGTGTGTTCATAGGTATGATAGCTGTACGCCTCTTTGAAGTTAGCTTACACCGAGTATAAGATCATAAGATACCTTTATCTAAACGTCTTTGACCCCATTGGTTTCTATTTTATTGCTGCATTTCATCATTTTTATGGCATCACTGTAATATGTTTTCAGATTTTGAATAAAGAGTGTGTCCATAATCATAAAACCATTCGAACTCTTCGAATATCCGGCTAGTTTCTATCTGCCACAATCTCTGAAACCAACCCCAGGCCAAACATTCACCCGAATGATCTACAGCCAAATAACTGTCTCTGTACGAGGCCTATGCAGAACAAAATGACAGTAAAAGTAGTTTCAGATTTGTAGTCCCTCTTTGCACCATCAAGACCATCAAGGTCAGGCGATACCTAAAGCAATGCGTTTGCATTGCACTGCCAATATGTGAACGTGCACGGATTGCCAATAAGTTAAATGTTGCTACTAAATGGAATATTCAAAATCTGTACCCCCTGGCTTGAATGAAGTCATCTTTAGGGCGGTAAAAACTACTTTATGGTTATGCCTGAACCTACCTTCAGTGCCGCAGAGAAATAGACATAACAAGGTATAATATTTGTCCTTTTAGTGTCATTACTGTCATTGTCAATAACTTACGATCGCAAGGGAATGCTTAGTAAATGCTACATTGCATCTAGGTTAGTCATGTTTTAGGTATAGATTGCCATAGATAGTGACTTATAACAATCGTAGTATATATGTTTTTTTAAATGCATGAACTCTAAAAGTCCCGTTGCAATGCAATATTGTTGGAAAATATCTTGTTAACAGTATTTCCTTGCTTTTCTATATATTTCATTTTCGTAGGATCAAGCAAATTGTATATAAGCCTCCATGTCTGCTAGAAGATCCAAGGTTATACAAATATATGTATTCTGAAGGGAGTTTAAATGATAAAGTTCATGCATCATATGGTTCAATTCTTATCGGACAGGGATTTACCGAGTGCAAAACGAAGTACATTCAAGTACGATTAGAAAATGGCCGTACTTTGTCATTGGATTAAGAAAGGGCGCTCGAAGAAAAACGAAAGCAAAAACAATCTATAATGGGATAAACTTGAAAGGAATCCTGGAATGGGTTGGATAGGAGGGATTCATTTAACGTTTGTATTGCGGAAAATCTGATAAGGATTTGCATTAGAACATCAAGATCGAATTTGATTAAGACCGGCGCTAATTCGATAATAGAAACGCGTCGTGCAGGAATTGCGTTAAATGCAGTGTAATGTTGTTTTTTTCTGTGTGGTAATTCTATGTCTTTTTGTATGCATAGTGAAAATAAAAACTAAAACAAGATATCCAATTGTAGATTTTAAGATAATGACCTTTGATTCCAAGATGGCGTCTTTATATTCTAGTGTCTTATTCTGCCATTTTCAACCCCTTTTATTCGTCATGTTCCAAAGGAACTAATTAGGTCCAACGTATAAATCTCATACGTATGTACCGTCTCTATGATGTATCAGTTACATTAAACTACATGTAACTGTATACATGCATGTTACTTTAACCGTACCTCGGTGAATGTGTTGATAGTCTCTATTGTATGTCAGATATGTATTCAAAGACGCAGTTTATCATTTGCCAAACAAACTTCTTGTCGTGTTAATATGACAATGTCCTACATACTACAAATGTAGTAGCTATGGGACTCCCTTGGGGGATATTAGCGACACACACTGCTATAGGTTTGGGGCTCCCCTAGGG